GAGTTCTGGGATTATAGGTATGTGCCACCACTGCCCCATAAATTTGAAACTCCTAATTGTCAGTTATCTAAGAGGAAATAGACAACCCTGTGGCTGCAGGAATACTTCTCCAGGGATAGGGGTGGGGCAGGGTGGGACAATATACTCATGCAGTACATTTTATTCACCAGTAAAACAAAAGTAAAAATGCATCATGAAGATGTTACAGACCATATGTATTCAATAGATCAAGTCTAACAGGAAGTTAGCAAAGGGCATTTTCCAGAGGAAAGCCTCTTCACCTTTTACTTTAGTTGGCCAAGTGCCTTTAACCTCTGCACTTGCTCTCATGTATTGCTTCCTTCTGTGAAGCCTAAAGACCAACACTCCTAGTCATGCCAAGTGCTTCTCAGAAGGTTCTGGGTGTCTGAGATTTAGTGATTCTGCCCATCTCTATCCTTCTCCACTTGGGCTGGCTGTGGTGGGATGTAGCAGTGCATCCAATTCCTTAGGCAGCCTTTTTGAGGCAGAGTTTTGGAGTGTTTCAATAGGGAAAGAAAGAAGCAGATTGTGGAATCAACAACCTTCTTGAAAAATAAAATAGAGGCTTCAGAATTTCTTGAGAAGATGCCAACTAGAGCTCGGGGGGTTTGAGAAGGCGCAATGAGTCTTCTTCCCCTGGCATCATTTTCTGGCTCCCCTCTAGAGTCTTCAAACACTTGGGGATGATTGTTTAGCTGTGTTACCCTTTGTTCCTATGACACCCTTTCCCCCAGCGGGAGCAATCCCAACCATCTGCATTCAGTTCTTGGGAGTCAGAGGAAAGGGTTTGGCATGGCCAGACCTGCAGGCAGAGAGTGCTGAAGGAGCACCAGAACACCCATCCACAGGACTTGAGGTCGAGGAGAATGTGATGTGGACTGTTATGTCAACATGTCAACAGAGAGATGGTGAGGAGCACTGAGAGTAGAAAATGGAAACTCCTTCCTCCCAGTGATAGAATCCCAAGCTAGGCACTTTGTGACTTTGTAAATGATTTTCTTTTCTTCCTCTCCCTTTTATGGGAGCTGACAGTGGCGATCTCCTTCCGCCTTCCTGCTGCAAGTTGAGTGCTGACAGGATGGCCACACATTGGACACAACATAGCACAGTAGCTCTGAAGTGAATAACTATACTAAATGAAAAAATAAGCAAGCCAGGATGCATTCTCTGGTCCGCCACTGTATACCCATAGCCAGTAGCTTGAGTTCCAGATGCATCTGTTACTAGTGTGAAACCTTTCCTCTCTCAGGGTCTCCACACACACCCACATCAGTGAAGGGAGGATAGAAACAATGTTTACCTCACATTCACATCAGGAGATAGAAATAATGTTTACCTCACAACATGGTTAGGAGTGACTTATGAAACAGGCTTCAAAGGGTGCCAGTTGGCCAGTTGCACATCCATAAATTACTGTGAGCTCTTCATTTTCTGTATCCTCTGGTTCACGAAGATGTAAGGATAGAGGATGATTTGATGACAAGGTTTCCATTTGGCTTTTTTCTTGTGATTTATAGCAGTGTCCCATCTACATTCTGCTTGTTGTGCTAGGAATTGAACTTGAGCCATATTCATGGCCCTCTGCCCTGAACCCCAAGTGTGAAGCAAACCCTCTACACTGAGCCCCAACTATCAGACAGCATCAGAAAGATGAAAATGATGCTGATGAGAACTGAAATCCGTGGTAGGTTTACAATTGCTCACTAACTGATTTGTTTGAAGATAAAGCTAGAAAATTAGAAAATCTTTATGGAAAATTCTCTCCTGAAGGCATCTATAGCTATTTTGTTTGTTCATGTCTGCTAAATCCAAATAAATAAAACAAGTAACAAGTATATGGCCTAGGAAAATATTTTGGGCAACACTGGGTTGCTATGCTAAGCAAGGCTTCTCTCTGTGCACATTCATGTTGTCTGTTGGCTTTCTGACCATGGGCAGGATGGCCAGGTCCCATCTGCCATTTCACTTTGCCTTCACAAAAGCTTGATCTGAAACTTCATGGCAATTTTTCCTTTGGTTCTGAACAGAAGATCCCTGCTTCAGACCTAAATTGAACACTTGTACTTCATGGCATTCGATAGACATCTAACAAGGCTGGTTTGACCTGCACATTCCAATTCTATTTTACTCAAGGATTGTAGGTCACATGGCCACAGACTGTAGTTTTCTATTTTGTTGTGGATGGATTTTACCCACAGTATATTTCTATCTATTTTGTTTTAGATGATATTTAGCCACATTAAAGCGAAAATGCCTTTTCATTTGTGTCCTGGGTTTAATTGAGGTCTGTGAAAAGTGTGCACAGATTTTCATATTAAGGCATACAGCAGGTGATACATTGTCTTGGTCAATCAACAGCCATTCTATTGCAAGGAGAATGACCCATTTGTTTTCTTTTTTTATTTTGTTTCTTTTGCATGGGGTTATAAAATGTCTGTGACTTGGATGGTTTTGAACTACTGGCAAGGGCAAGGTTCTCCCAGACCTTCTATGTTCTTACTGAGTTCACAATTGTCCAGATTTCCGAGGTAACAGCAGATACCAGTAATAGGAAAACCACAAGCCCCACTTGCTCACTGCAAGAGAACTCAATGTGGACCTGGGTCAGACATTCACTCCTCTGGGCTGTAGTTTTCTTATGAACAAAAAACAAACAAACAAACAAAAAAGACAAGCTTATTCTGACCAAAAGCAACACCAGGTGGTGGTGGTGCACACCTTTAATTCCAGAACTCTGGATGTAGAGGCAGGCAGATCTCTGAATTCATGGCCAGCCTGGTCTACAGATTGAGTTCCAGGAGAGCCAGGGCTACATAGAGAAATTCTGTCTCAAACACACACACACACACACACACACACACACACACACACACACACACACACACACACAGAGAGAGAGAGAGAGAGAGAGAGAGAGAGAGAGAGAGAGAGAGAGAAACTAACAATCTTCAAGATTCTTTCATTGCGCTGATAATTTCTATGTGCTGTACTATGGTAAGCCACTTGTCACACAGGGCTACCAAGCACTTCTAATGTGGCTAGCTAGCCTAAAACCAAACACATAGGAAGTATGGACTACATCTCATATTCCAAAGATCAATTATTAGAAAAAGAATACAAAATATTTGGATATATTTGCCTAAATAAAGCATATTAATTGAGTGAGCATTACCCATTTACAGTTTGCACTATGATACTAGACGATTCACATTCTATCACATATGTGTGTTCCATGACATCAGTACTGTGACAACAACAGAATGGAATCAAATTCATACCATATCACATGCACGGCTTCCATGACATTAGTATTGTGAAAACAACAGGATCGAATCAGTCTCTAAGGAATCTCAAATATCTGTGGCTCCGTGTTTCAATCTGAGATTCTTACACCATGAAGGTCAAGTTTTTGAAATTACAACTCTTCTTTGTTAAAACAAAACAAAACAAATCCCCATGATGCTGGCATGGAGCATGGCACTAAAGTTCTCTCTTTTTACTCCTGTGGGAGCCCTGTGGGCATCCAAAAGTTAGAGCGCTCTGCAGCTAACATCTGCAGGGCTACCTTCACTCTCTCAGCAAATAGAGAGGGCTCACCTGGAGAAGTGCATGCCATCAAGCCTGGCAACCTGAGTTTGATCCCTGGAACCCACATAATAAAAAGGAAGAAGTGACTCTATAAGTTCCCCTGTGACCGCCACGTGTACCCAGTGACACATGGCACACCCCATACCCCAATACATCTAAAAATAAAATTTTATTTATTTATTTACTTTATTTTATTATTAAAAGTGACTATTTCTGGATTGTGATGCCCCACTTGAAGTTTCTGAAATTTTATTATTTGTCACTCTTCCGATAATTAAGATTATAGTTAATCAGAAAAATACCAGTCTCTATATCTCATCTTATCCTACTTTTATAGATTCTATGAAAATCACAAAGATATAAGAAAGAAGTTGACTTTAATGGGAAGAACCCAAGATGTTTCCATCTGCCTTTATAGTTTTCCTTAGTGAATACATTGCTTCTACCAAGAGAAAGAAGTACACTTTATTTAAGATGACATCACTCACCCAGTCTTCTGAATTTAAACCTAACCCAGTTAATTTTGAACACTGACTGTCTTAGAACTCCTGGGGCCTTTATCTTATTATATTTGACTAAATAGCAGATGCTTTAGATTTGAGCCTCAGTCTCATGAAAATATTTAAGTATTTCCATGACATTACTAGCGAACAGCACAGGACTTAGTGACTGTCTATGTGGGGTAGCCAGGAAACACCTAACAATGCCCACCTGAAGGCATGCCGTAAACAACAGCCACACTTGTAGTCCAAGCTACTCTGGAGCATCATCTTAGACACTTGAGCTTAGCTTAGGCAACATAATAGGATCCTGTTTTAAGCAAATAAAATAAAACAACTGAAATAAAGATGTGCTGTGTACAACTGAGTCCCCAGAAATGGGAAAGCTGCTATTTCACATAGGTCAAACCGGCTCCTATAGACACTCGCACACTCACGAGGCTCGAGCACCCTCCTGTACATGCCCATATATAGCAAAGACAATGGAGGTGGAAGCTGTGTCCCTGACATTTGTTTCTCTCATCTGCCGTTTGATGTCAGAAGCCCTCACAGCCAGAAAGCAGACATCAGTGAATGTTATTGCCCAGCTCTTTGCTTCTGTCTTATTCGGCTAAGACCCCAGCCCCTGGAATGATGCTGCCCATAGTTAAAGAGGGCCTTCCCACACCAATGAACTTAATGTAGACAGGCTTTATATAGGTGTGCTCAGATTCTCACCTAATGTAGATATGTTTTCATAGGCTTGCCGACAGGCTTGTCTTCTAGGTAATTCTGCATTCTATCAAGCTGACAATTTCAACCATCACACAATGATATGCTATGTTATTTGCTCTCCAATCTCTGTAAGGCAATAACTCCATTGGTGATGATCCTCTGAAACACACTACTTACTGTTAGTTGTAAAGATGGCTTCTCCCTCTTGAGGCACAGGGTCTGGGTCCTGGACTACCTGCAGGGCTCCCACAGTCCTCACAGCAGGGTCCAAAGTGACTGAGCTTTCATTTACTGTTGTGTCGCTGGCACCTGTGATCTGATTTGTTGGTGGGCCTCCTAAAGAGCCCTCAAAATCAATGGGCAAGTCGTCCATGCAGTCGGCATTGGGCTGAGGGAACAAGAAGGATACATCTTTAGGGCATATCCTTGGTTCAGAGATGCAATGTCTGCAGACTAAATATTTTGTCTGAATGCAAAATTAAGCTCATTGCTTCATTGTTCTATTTTTAAGCCGCTTTATCAAAATAAAAACATTTATATGTAGTTTTACTTATATGTATATATGTATACACACATGTATGCATATATATACATATATATATATATATATATATATATATATATAAAATTTTATTGTCATGAGAAGACCGTCCCGCATTTCCTTTCTAAGGTTTGATTTTAGATATAAATACAAAGATTTAATTTCAAGTGTACCAAAATATCTACATGTAGATAACTAGTTAGGATGAATACATGATCTTTATTTATAATGATAAAACTAGGACTTCCTTTTATATAGAGAGTTTATTCCCCCACACAGAATGGAGCCAGCAGCCTGCTAATTATCATCAGTCTCATGAATTGTTTATAAACATGATATGGAAGTGAGAAGGAGCAGAGTATAACTGGGAATTATACAGGGAGGATACATGCACACACACATTCACACTTGTAAACACACAGGGCGAGGCTACTTTAAAAAAATATTAGCCAAAAATCAGCTGTAGAAAAATATTTCTATGTACTTAACATGGGGCTAGATACATATTAGACAAATCCCTTACTCCCTTTTTCTTCCAATGGGCCTCTGTCTCTTTTCTTATTGGAGACTCCCATCTCCAATATGTAGCCTTGACTGCCTGAACTTGCTATGAAGTTTTCTCTCCATGTATTTGTTTGATTTGTATGCTGGCTTCTTTGACATGAAGCATGATGATTCCATGATTTCCTGCCCTCAGAGTCTGCAGAGCATGATAGCCAAGGAAAGGGAATTCCAGGTTTGTATTCAATGAGTACCACATTGATATTCCCAGGTAAATGAAATCAGAGCCCTGTAAATCAGGAGCGAGTGGGGAGCCCCGAAGAGGAGATCTGCAGAGCTATTTGTGGGTCTCTTGAGATCACAGTCACAATAGACAGGTGGGAGCTGCCACCATCCTCCAGTTCCTCCAAGCAGCTTGTGTCTTTTCTCTGTGCTCTTGCCCCTTTGCTTTTGCCATCTCTGTCTGCAGTGAGCCATTTCACCAACACTCAACTTGCCAGAAGAGAGTTTACAGACTAATTCACTGTTGACTAAATTTGTTGATTTTGACTTCGAATGGGAATGGTCATTATTATCAACATTTTCTCCCCACGAGCAGTCTCTCTATCTCTATCTGGTCTCTTCTCTATTTTGTGTCCTTTCACCAACAAGCATAGCATCTACAATAACACCAACAATCACAGCATCTACAGTAACAACACCAATAACGACAGCATCCACAATAACAATACTAACAAACACAGCATCTATAATAAAAATTCCAATAACTACAACATCTACAGTAACAACAACATCAACAATCACATCATCTATAAGAAACATATCACCAAAACCCACAAAACCAATAACTGCAATACCAACCACAACATTAACAACATTAACAATCACAATAAGAACATCAACAACAAGTCCAGTGTTGGTGGCACATGCCTTTAATCCCAGTAGAGGCAGGGATTAACTCTGTAAATTCCAGGCCAGTTTGGTCTACAGAACTAGTAGTTCCAGGACAGGCTCCAAAACAATACAGAGAAACCCTGTCTCAAAAACCAAAACAAACAACAAACAAACAAACAAACAAACAAACCAACCAAAAGAAAAACCCAAACAAAAAAAACAAAACAAAAAAACCCAAAAAGCAAACATCTCAACATCTCCAGCAACACCTCCATCAACAGCCACATCTATCATCACCACCACCAGCACCAGAGCAAAACAACTACCGCAGAGGTAGGGGTCTTCTCTCTGTATAAGGAACAGGGTATATGAGTCAGCATGACCAAACACACTGTAAGCCTAATCCAACTTGTCATTCTGTCCTCACCATTAGCTGGAAGAAACAGAGAACACACATGATCCCTTAGTTCAGTGGTTTCTCTTAACTGTCCCTCTGCTTATGATGACATGTGCTACCTTCCTTCTTTTCAAACTGATCCTTGGGGATTGCTAATCTCTCTTTAACTCCCAACAGTGTCACTATTTCTAAGTAGTGCTTCTTCAAAGCACTGGTCTTTGATCATCATGTGGCACTTGGGTTTGGTGATCAATTGCCAATGTCTTGTTCTCTGGCCACTGTTGACAAGAGTCACAGCATCCACATCATCTTAATTTTGAATCCCAGGCTTCCACACCATGCTACAAGTCTCTGATTTCTGCTGCCAAACTTGGGCTTATTGGATTCTTGTCAAGATCAATGAGAGAAGGATTTTAGAAAATACTGGAAGGACCATAAAGTTCTGTGCAAGACTGAGAGACATGCTTGGTAAAGGTATTTATTAAGTAGAATGCTTAAGGGCACCGTGTTGGGTGGAAGAGACTTCACGAGAGGCAGACAGCACTAATCTCTGTCACAAACATAAATAGTCCAGTGCATGCATATGCAATGACTTGTTCAATCTTTGAAATTGTGACTCTGTTTGTTTGCAGGCATTAGTGGTTCTCTTTTCTATGCTCCAGCTTTGGTGCAGTGCACTTTAATATTTTGTGGGTCAGGTGAAACTTTGCTTTCTTCTTCATGAGGTATCAATGGCAACAAGTACAGCAACTTTGGCTTGGATGTATTAGGTAATGGATCAACCTTCCAGAACCTCCCAATTTATAGTCACTCTACGTGGATAATCAGACATTTTCTGCCTCTTGAAAAAGCCAAAGGCTTACTGCTTAAAGACTATATCTAAGGCTATCTGCTAACCAACTTTGTCTAGGCAGTGAGATTTAGGTAGCATGAGAAAAGTCCTCAGATAAATAAATGGCTAATAATTAAAGCTGTGACTTCACTGGCTACCTGTTCAATGGTGGTTGGCATCCTGTTCATATCTGAAGAACAATGATGGTGGGAGGTGTTTTCTGGCCTCAACAGCTGGGTCCTGTGAGAGCTGGGAGGAGGATTCACTAAAACTATTGTTCTGTAAGAGACACCTGCATCAGATGGGTAGGTGGGGGCTGAGACACTGCAATGGAGGCCAAGGATAGAAAACTTCTGGAAATAGTGAACCCTTCCACTAGATTTCACTTTATAAGAATATGTAGTTCTCAGAAATAAAGAAAAATGAAAAAGACCCCTTCCTTCTTCCTTTAAGAGTTCTTTTGACAAAATGCTACAGAAAAATGTTCATTGTTATGAGAATTTCATCAGTCATGAGATGAACTCTTGTTTAGCCCATTGTGGAGAAGTACAGAATGCAAGATGTTGTCCCAGCTCTTGGATTTTGACTTAAGTTTATTTGTTGATTACCACAGGTAGTACATATGCACTGAACTAAAAATAACAAAAATACAAACAACTATTGTATACCTTAACTGCCTGTATTTGAATAGTCAAATGGATCAAAATCACAACAATGTCATTCTTGAGTTGCCACTCTAGCAAGGAGACCTGGTGTGTAATTTGCAATCATGATTTTGAGATCAATTGCATTCAAGACTTTGAAGGGTCCTCCTTGTTTCCTAGCTTTTCTGGCTGTGTGGATTGTAGGCTGGTGATCCTTTCCTCTATGTCTAAAATCCATATATGAATTAGTACATAACATGTTTGTCTTTTTGTGACTGGGTTACCTTACTCAGGATGGTTTCTTCTAGTTCCATTCATTTGCTTGTGAATTTCAAGATTCCATTTTTTTCCCCCGAAGAGTAGTACTCCATTGTGTAAAATATACCACATTTTCTCCATCCATTCTTCAGCTGAGGAGCATCTAGGTTGCTTCCAGGTTCTGGCTATTACAAGTAATGCTGCTATGAACATAGTTGAACAGATGTCCTTGTTGTATTAATGTACATCTTTTGGGTATATGCCTAAGAGGGGGATTGCCAGGTCCTGTGGTAGATTTCCATTTTCCTGAGGAACCGCCATACTGATTTCCAAAGTGGCTGTACAAATTTGTACTCCCACCAGCAGTGGAGGAGGGTTCCCCTTTCTCCACATCCTCTCTAGCATAAACTGTCATTGGTGTTTTTTATTTTAGCCATTCTGACAGGAGTAAGATGATATCTCAGAGTTGTTTTGATTTGCATTTCCCTGATGGCTAAGGATGTTGAGTATTTAAGTATCTTTTAGCCATTTTAGATTCCTCTATTGAGAAGTCTCTATTTAGTTCTGTACTCCACTTTTTAATTGGATTATTTGGTGTTTTGGTAACTAGCCTCTTGAGTTCTTTGTATATTTTGGAAATCAGCCCTCTGTCAGATGTGGGGTTAGTGAAGATCTTTTCCCATTCTGTGGGCTGCCTTTTTTGTCTTGTTGACTGTGCCCTTTGCCTTACAGAAGCTTCTCAGTTTCAGGAGGTCCCATTTATTAATTGTTGATCTCAGTGTCCGTGCTATACAGACATACATGAGACATACATGGTCTCCTGAAGAAGGGGAAAAGGACAAGATCTCCCAAGAAAATTGGGAGAGGGTAGGGGAGAGGGAGTTAGGAGAAAGAGAAGGGGAGAAGAAGAGCAGATGAGGGAGCAGGAAGATTGAGTGTGTGTGTGTGTGGGGATACAGGAGAGCAAGAAAAGAGATACCATAATAGAAGGAGCCATTATAGGTTTAAAGAGAAATCTGGCACTAAGGAAATGTCCAGAGATCTAGAAGGATGACCTAAATTAACAATGTAAGCAATAGTGGAGAGGTTACTTTAAATACCCTTCCCTGGTAATGAAATTGATGACTACCCTATATTGCCATCCTAGAGCCTTCATCCAGTAGCTGATGGAAGCAGAGCAGACACCCACAGATAAACATTGAGCCAAACTCCTGGAATCCATTTGCAGAGAGGGAGGAGTGATGAGCAAAGAGGTCAAGACCAGGCTGGAGAAACCCACAGAAACAGCTGACCTGAACAAAGGGGAGCTCATAGACCCCAGTCTGAAAGCTGGGAAACCTGCAAGGACCCACCTAGACTCCCTGAATGTGGGTGTTAGTTAGGAGGACTGGGCAGTCTATGGGACCTCTGGCAGTGGATCAGTATTTATCCCTAGTGTATGAATGGACTCTGGGAGTCCATTCCACATAAAGGGATACTCTCAGCCTAGATACATGGGGGAGGGCCTAGGCCCTGCTCTAATGATATGAAAGACTTTGAAGATCCCCCATGGAAGGCCTCATCCTCCCTGGGGAACAGAAAGGGGGTGAGGTAGGGGTTAGGAGAGGCAGGGGAAGAGGTGAGTGTGAGGGAACTGGGATTGACATGTAAAATAAGCTTGTTTTAAATCTAAATTAAAAATATTATCATAAAAAAAGAGAAAAGACTTGAAGGGCTCCAAATTCTGCAAGAGCACTCAGCATAGTCAGGGATCTGAGGTGAAGGACCAACAGATATCAGAGTGCAGAAATGGGCTCTTCCTCAACAGTCCTTAAATAACAGGATCCTAGTCCAGTGTGGGGGTGCACACCTGAATTTCCAGAGATTCTTCTGAGCTGGAGGCAGGAGGATCACAAGCTTCAGTTGATCCTGGTTGCCTGCTTAGGGGGATTCTATGGTAAACTAAATTAAACTAAACTTAAATTTAGAGTATAGGGAAAAATTAAGACCATTTCTTTAAAGTACCTTAAAGAAGTGTCTGTACAAGAAATATTTCCTAATTAACACAGCTGTGTGCTGATCCAATCATATGCAAAGTTTAAGAAAGAAACAAATTATTGCATTGATGCATTTTAGGCAAAGTGCTCTCTGAGAGCAACACTATGGGATGGGACTAAACCCTAAGTTACCCCCCAGACCCTGAATCTGTCTTCATCAGGACAAAAGAGCCTGGGAGGCAGAAGGTTGACCATATGCCTTGACTCTTCCAAAGCAGCCACACGGTGCATGTGCCTCCTTCTTCACGGGAACGTTCTGTTCTGTGGGGTGAGTGTGGATGTGTCATGTTCTTCAGCTGGCTCTTCAAAATCTTTGGCAAAGCCCAAAGATGCTACTGATGTTTATTTTTCTGGGAGCTGAGTGTGCTAAGTCAAGTCTCACACAGACTTGTCAGGCATTGGAGTTCCAGCCAGAGTATCCAACTGCTAAAAGTTAAAACGTTATTTAGTTTGGAAGTAAGCCAAAAGGCCACTCAGTATTTCTATTTTAGAAACAATTAACATCAATATTTGGAATCCAGTTAGAAGTAGCTTCTGGAGAAATTGCACTTCCATGGGAAAAGAAATCTGGAATCAAGTATTCAGCACAAAATTTCATCATAGAGCAAGGGTTTCTTTGCTTTCTTGTCCCAGCCAAAGAAGGGGACGTGCTATGAGGAAGGCTGGGAAACTACCCCGAGGCACAGGGAGCATGTGGGTGATGCACATACATATAAGCAGAAGTGTATATGTGCAATACACATATGTAAACACATATGTGTGAGCACATACATGCAAGCTCATATTGCACACATGAAAGAACATACATGCACACATGTCAACACACACTCTTATATATGCAAGTCCACTCATGCAAGGACAAAAGGACTCACATACACACATTCATGTGAGCACATCCATGCATGCAAGTGAGAGACTAGGTGTTAGACAGGTTCCCTTGGAGGCAGACAGATAGGGAGAGGGACCAGGCTTGGTAACAAATGGTGAATCTCCAAGGTGGCCAGCTTTTCTTCCTATGTTTTCCTCATGTCTCATGTCATCAGCTAAGACCTAGAGCATCTTCTGATGGCATTTGTCTCCTGACAGCAGGTCCCCTGATGTTGGGTGGCCAGGTCAGACGTTGTCACACAGCAGTTGTGGATTAATCAACCATCCTACCTGTCTTCAAAATGACCAACCCTAAAGTAGGGTAGTAAACTCTTCAGAGGCTCCAAAACCCCCAGGCCTGGTTGTCTGTGTCCCCACTCTGCTGTGCAGAGGGGACTTTTCTTTGTATGTTTGCTGTGTGCTTGTGTTTCTTCCCCCCCCAATAAATGCCTCCCTCCAACAGCTGATTCTGTCTGCCCAGCATGAGATTTCTCAGCTGCCACCTGCTTTGCTTCAGATATTTCCTGCTTTTTGGTTCTTTAACTGGCAGAGAAAACGAACCTAATTAAGAACCACAAGCACAGACACAAGCACACAATGCACATGTGCAATAACACACACACACACACACACACGTGTACACATTCAGCTGCACACACATATCCATGCAAATGCAAGCATGCAAGCATGCACACTTGCAAGCAAACATGTTCACACTCTCCTTCTTCCTTAAAATAATGAGTTACAGCTAGAAACGTGAAAGGCAGTCACCAGTCCCTGTAGATGTGGATGTCCCTCTCATGTTCCACACTCACTGTGAACGGTTTGAGCCTTGAGAGCACTGTGCATGACAACTCTGGTCTGAAAATTTAGTATGCCATGTCCACAATCTAGCTCAAAGCTTCAGTCTCTTGAGTGGATTTGTGTTTGGTGGATCAGCTGCCACTGAGGCAGCTGGCATAGGGCAGTCAAGCCAGTCAAGGCAGGATCTATGAATACTCTGGCGGAGGGGGCACATTGTCCTAATTAGCCTTTTGCCATGCAAGACACTGATACATGATCTGGGCCTCATTCTCTAGTGATATCCTGGGACCATTAGCATTCTCTTAACTGTCACAACAGCTAGGAATGGCAATAGACAGGTGGCAGCAAGGAGGGGGCAGGGTTGAGCTGGCTTCTGTGTTGGGTTTGGAGGTTCCATTTAGAGAATGCCTATGGTCAGCCCCTCACATCTCCCCATGGACTTTTTGCATTTGTTGGTCTGGCTTCTTTCCTGTCCTCATCAGCCCAGAAAGGATAACACCCAGCAGCTGGGGGGGGGGTCTCATTAACTGTCACTTGTGGCGTCCACTTGATACAATCCTGGGGTAGGTTTTCCCTGAAGCATCAAGCCAGCTGGCAGGATTCTAACCCTAGGGAGAGTCAGTAAATGTCAGAGAACACATGACTTTGAGAAGCAGCTGAGGGCAGGGTTGGATTTAAGTGGCTCTGATTCTGACTTCCTCTTTGCTCAAAGTCTGCAGAGATGTGAATGTAGCAGACACTTTGAGCAGTATTCTTGGTCTCGGTCCTCTCCTTCCATGGGTGGGAGTGACTACTCCTCCCTAAATGTTTGGTGATCAGGAGGCAGCAAGCACCCAAATGGCGGCCTGTGGATCTCCTTGAGGACAAAGCAGGCATGGCAACCCAAGAGGTCATTAATGTTCAACTGACCCATTGAATGTCTTCTGCATCTCACCTGTCCTTGAAGAGTTACTATGAGCCATGCAAGCAGCACCTTCTTTGACTCACAGACAAATGGTGGACATGGTGTGATCAGACAGAGCAAAGGTGAAAGGAGGGATGTTTGAACACAGGGGTCATTGGGTGATGTCAACAAGGAGACGTGGAAAATCCAAGGAAGATGTTTTCTTTCTGCTTTGGCGGCAATGTGAAAAGACAGACATGACAAGGCTATGCTGTGCTTACCGGGATCCCTAGGGCTTTAAGAATGTTCATCTTGCACATGGGACAGGTGCGATGGTCTAGAAGCCAGGGGTCAACACAGGACTTGTGGAAAAGATGCCTGGAATGAGAACCATACACCTTAGAGCAGTGGTAACCGAGGCACGCCCTAGACTGCTACAGCCCACTGACCTGCCCCAGGTCCTTCAGCTGATGAGTGCCAGAGCTGGGACGCCTGAAGCAAAGCATTTCTTTGTGCTAATTGACCTCAAATCTGCGTGGATCAGCAGAGTGCCCCATAAGGTTTGCAACAGACTCTTCCAAGGTTGTTTTTTTTCTTTTGTGGAGGCTGTAGAAACAGAGATCTCCCCTCCCTTGATGGCAAGAATGCAAGAGGGGACACTCTCCTGCAGGATGAGTTGGTAAAGGCTTGTGTTCCCTTCCCCCAAAATTTACTTTGCCACAATCAGAAGACAACTGCAAAGTAAAGGCTGATTTCTATTCGTATTTTGGTGTCTAAGACAGAAGGTCACAGGAGTTCCTGGAAACAGGAACACAAATGACATGTTGAGCTGTCCTGGTGGCCTGGTGGTTGTCAAGTAAGAGGATGATGTGAAGGAGCCTTTGGTTGTCAATCTCAAATGACAGTTGCTATAAGGTCTGGTCAGTCTGGCAGGTGAAAGGCATATGAATGAATATAGCATCTTATATGAACTTTCAATATGGCTCAGGAGCTGGCTTGGAGACTTCATGGGCTGTTTGCATCAAAAGATTTCTCACTTCCCATGGGTAGAGGTGTTAGAACTTCCCACCTGAGTCAAGAAGAGGCAGAACTTTCTGTTTTGAGTGGGAAGGCTCATTTAGAACATCCCATCCCTTTCTGGATCTGTTCGGTTCCATAAACAAGTGCTGTAGCTAACTAGAGAGGTTCAGGAAGCAACCAGCTGTATACTGTGAAGTGAAATGCAGATGAACTCATATTCTGAGGATGTCTGAGCCGTCTATGGGAGAGGACCATGGCTGAGAGTGCTCAGTTGATGATGGTTTTTGCTGTACAACCTTGAGGACCCAAGGTTGATCCCCACCCTCTATGCCAGGTATGGTAGCTCTGCTTGTCATCTTTGCACACACTTGTGGGGCACAGGCAGGGAACACTGGCCAGCCAGCTTAGCCTAAAAATGGCAAGCTCCAGGTCTCAGTGAGAAATCTTGTCTCAAAAACAAACAAACAAAAAACAAACAAAAAACCAAAGCAAGGCAGATAGCTCCTGAGGCACAACACTACTGGTTGACCTTAGGCCTCCACAAGAACTCACACACACACATACATGTACACGCAGGCTTGCAGAACTGAAACCCTGGCAGGAGTAGATCAGAAAGAGAAGAGCAGTCCTGAGGTTGCATGGGTCTCTTTCCAGCCTACTGCTCAGGACACCCTGCACATGCATGTTCTTGGAATGCGTTCACACGTTGGTTCTTTTAATGAGGATATATGCCGACAAAGGAGTTCAACACTTAGAACTAGCACTAAGAATGTTGGAAACCTAGCTCTTCTTCTAAGGCAGAAACTCATAAAATAAATACCTAAAGTAAAACCAAATGTAAGTAAATTACTTTTTGAAAATTACCTGATGAACCACAGACTTTGGGGAGGGGTTCTGACTGGAAGATTGACCAGGGTTTAGGTGCATGGAAAACGTCTCATTGAGGAAATGGCAGAGCTGGGAGCTGAGTTGTGGTCACCCCATGAGAAGGGGAGAGAAGGAGAATGTTCTTGGCAGAATGAGGGGTCCAATCAAAATGGCTCCTGGAACACCCTGTGCTGGAAGATGGCCAGACTCACTGCATCAATGTGGAGAAGGCAGATCTCCATAACTACAACTGTTAGAAGAGGCTTCTGATAACCCAGTTGTATAAAGCTGCTCCTTGTCCCCCCAAAGCAATGTTGATCTCCTCAGGCTCAGGATCAATACTGAGGGTTTAAGGTTCTTGCCTACACCTGTTAACTCATCTTGTGTCACTCCTGGGAGAAGCCAACCATTTTGATCTCTTTGACTACTCTTGGGTGGCGGATCTGTTACTTTTTTTTTCTTGTCACATATGTTTCTGCATATATGTGGGAGATCTGATGGCAGCAGCACCAACTGTTAGCACTTCTTAACACTTAGACAAGTTGCTTAATGTCCTCAACCACTTGTGAACTGAGGATCTGTCTGCTCAAGCATGGAAGGCTCTAGCCGAGTCTCCACAGGAGCCAGCAGTACTTCTCACACTACCATCACCCCGCATGTCTCCTCAGCAATGCTATGCTGCCTGGTTGCCAATCAACACTGATCAGGAGTTGCTGTGAAGGTGTGGGTGGATACTCTTCTGGTCTAGGTGGATCTCATCCAAGCACTTGGCGGGTCTCAGCATAGCTGTTTTCCTGGAGAAGTCATCCTGCCTTGGAACTGGCAGCATCAGCTGCAGTCCAAAAGTGTGCAACTCAAGGCCCACACTGTAGATCAACCTTAGACCTGCTAGCTCTACACTCAAGCAATCTAAATCCTCAAAACCCGTCCCTCTATCTCTTCCCTCCTTGTGTGTCCCCCCAGTTTCTCTTCCTGTCATCCATCTCTGTGGATTGGTTCTGTTCCTCTGTAGACGCCTCAATCAGCTCCTCTTTCAATGAGTGTACAAGTTCAATGAAATCAATGAGAGCAAAGTCCTTATTTGTGTCGTCACAGCACCCTCAGTATTTATAACAGATGATGATCAGGAAACATTTGCTGTGTGTATTTATTCATCAAAGGACATAACGCTTCTCCCAGCTTTCATGTGACCGTCAACTCCTGTTCACTTGCTCTTCCTAGTCTCCTCTGTCCATTTGCTCTTCTCCCTCCCTCCCTCCCTTTTAAAAATGTGGCTCCCCATTGATCATCTCATGATTTTTCACTCATTACTGCAATAGCATTGACACTGCTCTCCGTGCTGCCAGGCCTTCTCTGTTCTCTCCATCCTACTCACTGATGCCAGATTTGTCTTCTGAAAATAGAGTGCTCATTACGTTACTCCCTCCTTCCATCCTGTTCCGTGCTAGAACTGGGTACAAAGATGACTAAGACAAGATTTCTCCCTTCATGGAAGTACCACAGTTGGCTTGCAGTTCCATCTTACACATGGAGGAGAAACCATAGAAGGTCCATACTCCTAGACTGGGGCTTTCCTGTCTTTCCACTCTTAGCAAGTTGTCTTAGCTCTCCAAAATCAGCTTCAATTGGCAACATTTTATCTTATGGGGAAGGGGTTTGTAAGAGAATGAGTCTCTCTTCTCCCTGCCTTCCTCCCTTCTTCCTTCCCTCCCTCCCTCCCTCCTTCCTTCCCTCCCTTCCTCCCTCTCTCCCCCTGTGTGTGTGAGAGAGATAGATAGATAGATAGAGAGTATTTTATGTTGTTTATGTTGTCATAGCACACATCTGTAAGCTCAGCAATCAGGAAGCCAAGGCAGAAGAATATTGAGTTCAAAGCCAGCCCGGTGGTACATATAAAAATTTTTAAGATAAACCCCCATGAGCATAATAAAACTGCAATGAGCCAGCCAGCCAGCCAGCCAGCCAGCCAGCCAGCCAGCCAGCCAGCCAGCCAGCCAGCCAAGCACAACAAAACATAAGTGTTAGCACTCCTTAACTGTAAGCTACTAATAATAGCATTAATACCAGTCCTCTCTGCCTTGAGTGTGGCTGCAGCATGGCTAGTCTGCCCCCTGCTCCTGCTGCTGCATCACCCCCATCATTACAGATTATGTTCTTGGAACTGTAAGGCAGTGGGGATATTTTGTCACAACGACAGAAGAGTAATAGAGACAGTGAGGATACAGAAGCGGTGCTGTGGACATGTGACAAAGTAAGTCCTCATGGTTCTTAGCAGTCATGGTAAAGCAGGGCACACTCACTCCCATACCCAGGGCTCTCTGCTGCCCACCCACTCTATGTATGATTTCCAGCCTAAGCAGATGTTTCTTTTCTCCTCTGGAGAAGAAGTGCTGTTTTCTTTTTCCCTCCTCATGTACTGTTACAGACTCATTGCCACCACCACCCTGCAGTTAGGACTAAGATTCTGTGGTTTTGGAGGTTGGAGAGAGGGCTCTGCAGGGAAGAGCAATAGCTATTCTTCTATGGAAACAGGTTCTAAGCTCAGCATCCACAGGGTGACACTCAACCTTCTGTAACCCCGGTTCTAGGGGGTCCAGTGTCCTCTTCTTGCCTCTGTAGTTCACAGACATATATATATATATATATATATATATATATATATATATATATATATATAGGCAAAACAGCTGGGCACATAAAACTAAAATACATTTAAAAAAGAAAACTTTTGTGCTTTGAGCACAGTGCCCTCTTTTTTTGTGGCATGCATATTGAAAACTATGAGGTGCCCTAGAAACTCATTTTCTGGGGCAACATCAGCTCCTTTACAATGATTACTGTGTGTCTATGGGTAGCTGAAATGTCTCTTTGGAACATCTGAATCATATTTTCAAAGCTGTCAATGAAATGAGAATGAATTTAATGGAATTTATGCTACCGACAATGTCTTCCACTTACATAATTGACTCACTACCATTCTGTGAGGTAAAAACTATTGGTGATCTTTGGAGGAGGAAACTCTGAATGTTGAAGTCAAACCTCCAGCGAGTGGGAAAAATGAAGAGCCAGCATCAGGACCACAGCAAACCATGTCATCAAACCCGTGTGTTGGCCTGGTTATCTATTTCTTTCTTTTCACTTACAGGGGGATGGAGGGCCACATTCCTATTATTGCCTAGAATAACCTTATGCTCTTGCTTCAAGCGCTTATTCTTTCTGAACCTCAGCTTCCCATCTGCGGAAGGAGAATAACACCAAGAGTTTTGGCACCTCAACAGTGTCCTTCTAGTATGTTGAACAACCCTTTTTAAGTCACATAGGAAAGTCACAAGCTATCTTAGTGGCAGCTACAGGTATGTGACTGATACTGAATAAATTGCTATTGAGAGAAAAATAATAATCACAACAATACTTTATGATTGACCTGTCATTTGCCAACATGGAGAACAGGACTGTGCTGCTGACTCAGTTGCTTGTTGTGTTAGCACAGG